AGAGAGAGAGAGAGAGAGAGAGAGAGAGAGAGAGAGAGAGAGAGAGAGAGAGAGAGAGAGCACGTATCTTTAAAATGAGATATTACAATTAAACAGTTATTCTCATAATAAAATGTGAAATTTACGAACTTTTTCGCTGGTACAGTCTTATGAAGATTCCACAACTTCAGTGTATGATCATCGCTCGCGGTGATGAGGACTGGATCTGTGGGATGGAAGACGAGTGCCCTGACAGCGTCAAAGTGCGATCGTAACGTATATTTAGCGTTCCATGTTTTCCTGAACGTCTCTTTTGTGGTGGAAACCATCTATTGGATAAAATAACGGCATTAATAAATCATATCGAATCTTCTTGTGCAATATAGGAAGGATTCTGATAACTTACATCATACGATATTTCTGCATCGTTGTTAACACATAATTGTTCTAATTCTCCTAATTCCAATGTAGAATCACCTTCTTTATTTGGGCGTCTTGGGTCTGGTTGTAATCCTCTATGTAATGCTGCATCTTTAGGGAAGGTATTAATACATCATAAAACATAACAATACTATGAGTATTACGTTACAAGTATACAAGGTGTCCCAAAATTAACAACTCATTATAGCAAGAAAGTTTTCAAAAAATATTAACTAAAAAAGTTATTTATAAATTTTATTTAAAGGAATAGTTTCTGAGATATAAAAGTTCAAGTATTATATATCAATTACAGACTACATTTAGATAGCCATCTGTAAATATTGAGTACGCTGAAGTGCATTTACCAGCATTCATTCACTAATTACCACATGCGTGACTTATGGACAGATGGCCATTTAACGTAGTTTGTAACTGACTATCTTTAAACTCTTATCTCAAAAATTATCACCTAAAACAAAAATTTACAAATAATCTTTTTATGTAATTTTTCGAGAATTTTCTTTTTATAGCATTTTGAGTTGTGAATTTTGGGACATTTTGGATTATAAATATACGAAGGGTGTGTAAACAGATTTACATTTTAAAATATAAAAACGTCTGAACAATGTGTAAATTATGGATACTACTTACTCCATTCTGCAGAATTCATTTCCAAATTAATAGAACCAGGTGGTGATTCTTCGATTTCTGTGAGAAGATTTAATTCGTTTAACACTTCTTCTGCTTCTGCATCTGTATCAACATCCTCCGCTAGAAGAGGAATTGATGCCTGCAAAAACAAAAATCATATATCAGTTTAGTGATCTAAAGACTTAGAACACTCGTACCGAATGTTAGAGATCCGGGTTTGATCTCTGGACGAAATAATACTTTTTGCAATAAAATTATTTACAGATTAGATAAGATCTTTATAAAATGCCAATAAACATCAAATTAGTAAATTACTAAGCAATTTAATTTGTAATATTATTACTATAGTTCAATAGATTTTACGTTTCAAAATCGAAACATCAGTTCGGAGCGCAATTTAAACAATTACATAGATAATATATAAATTTAGAGAATTATTTAAGTAATTAAAGTCTAGCTTAAAGCTTTTTTTCCTTTCTTGATGTGTTTTTACATGTACGGTCCTAGAAACTCTTTGAAAAATCATATTGATAAAGCATATATAGCCATAAATAAATGTATGACGAAATTAAATGTTACAGAATAAAAGTATAAAGCAATAATGGAAATTTACTTTATTTGATTTGGTATCTGCATTTGCATCGTAAATTTCATCTTCTACATCTCCTTCCTCTTCTTCCATATCCATATCCGTGTGACGCAAAAATTCAAAATTCGCTATAACAGCCGCTTCTGTGTCTAATATCATTGCCTCTGCTATAGAAGATGGTTGCTGCTAGAATTGGAATATCAGATTTCTTATATAGAGATGACATATAAGATATTTTTCTATCATTTTTTAAGCTTTCGTTATAACTTATTAAAGATTTCATAAAAATGTTTATTTTGATATATGCAACGCGTATAATTATCATTCACATACACATAAAGATATTCAAGTTTTTTTTTATTTCAAATTTCAAAAAACAAATATATTTATATTTATTTTCAGGGAATGAAAGTAATTTGTTACTTATAACAAAGTTACAGTTATAAGTTACTTTTTTCGTAATTTCATTGATAACTGTTACTTTTTTTTAATAATTGTAACGGTAATGTAGTTTACATCTTTTTGATAATTATAACAAATTTTACAGTTACTTTTATCGTTACTTGGAATACAATTAGATACGGTTCGATTAGATACAAGCCAGTTAGAAACCGTTTAAGCATTTCAGATTAGAAAGTTTGATATCTGTCTGCTGTGATTGGTGGTTGTCGATTTTAAAAAAGTAATATAAAAGT